AATGGAAGATCTATCACGTGATTTCCAGGCGGCCTATGAAGACAAATTCGATGTTCCCCCAGGAACATGCACAGTGCAAGAAAGAATATCGAACATCTGTCGGTACCCTGATGAAATGAATGGTTATGGATCGAATCGACCATCGCCGAGAAATGTCAGCAACGTTCTTTTTCATCAGGTTAGCGTTGGAGCATTTTCAGTCTACAATGTTTTGTAAATTTGTGTGAAATACCGACTATGATTGTGTAACTACAACCTTCTCACCATTTTTGTCATGTTGTTTGTCGATGAAATCGCCAAGGATGAACAAAGGAACGTGTGTGCATGTCTCATGCAGTGCGGCCGTTCCCTTTATAGTATGCAGAGAATTGTTCTTTCCCATTGTGCTCACCTTTAATTTCTTGTGGTGTACAGATAGAACCAATCATTAGTTCAAGGAAACTTAGTGACATGCATGCGCACTTTGGACAAGTAAGTAGGGACTTTATAACATATATACAGTTTTTTTCTCTTCGATTTGAATGAACTCCAACGTTATTGGTTAACAAAAATTAAATTTAGCCTTTGATTTTTTTTCGTTTTAGTTTTTGACTCACGACATCGACTTTTCAAGTCCTTTACCCAGATTTGAATTTGAATCAACATTGAATTCCGTGTGGATGCCAATCTCTGTACCAAAGGTATGTATAGTTTACAACATGAGCGGCCGTGTTGTATAGGAATTACAATCTCGAGCCGCAGGCGAGAGATTGTAATTCCCATACAACACGGACGCGAATGTTGTAAACGACTTATAAGACTCCAACACAAATTAACATGAATTACAGTGAGATAAATGACGAAAAATGACAAATAAGGTAACTGCTGAGTTTAGTCCCTATTAAGCATGCGCAATTTACTGCAACACAGAACATTTTGAATAATTATCCATCCCACATGGAAAGCAAGCCATCTGTTGCATAAGCGAGTTCTGTTATCCGTCTTTGTCGATTGCTTCAAAACCTAGTGAAGGTCTATGATGCGACACTAAAACTGAGACCTTTGCTAGTGTTGGGTTGTCTCAATGGTGACGACCGTGTTGTAAATCTGATACAACACTAGTGGTTGTATCAGATTTACAAGGTCAATCACCTGATTAAATGGTCAGCCCTTATTGGAGCAATAGCTTATGCATTATTAATAAGTTTTATAAGTAAATTTATAATAAACAACTAAATGTGCTAAAAACCTGCAACAAACTCAAAATCATGCGCAATGTATTAAATGCATCATAATTTTAATATAGACAACAGAATTTAAATATTGACAACGCAAATACAATGGAATCATCAAAAATTTAAATGAAGACTGCTTTGTTGTCCATGGTCATCATGGAATGGCAGCTCTATATTTGAGACAACACCATCCTCCCAAGAGTCAACATCATTTGCTTTCCCCGAGATGATGCCAATTCATTGATGTCTCATGTAGATGTTATACAGATCGTAAAGTGCATGAAAGAGTCGATCAGCTCTGGCTAATATATATCAAGCGCCATCAGGGACTAATAAGGAACATCTTTATATTTGTTTCAGGGTGACGTTCACTTTGACAGAAGAGATACAGGGAAGGAATATCTATCATTTGTTCGCTCTACATTTAACAGGTCATTCTT